TTCGATGGCAAATGGGTGACTGAGAAGAAGAGCAAGGAAAGAGGATGTTAGACTTTTTGTTAATTGCATTTTACAATTTTGCAGGAACTTAGAGTTGGATGTGAAGTCAAGTGAAGGTGCAAGGAGGTCTACAAGACTGAGACTTCAGCCTTTGCGAAAGCCAAAGTCAAGCCCGAAGAAGAAGAAACCCGTTAAACTCCATTCAAAGATGCCCAAGAAACCTCCCACTGCTTTCTTCTTTTTCTTGTAGGTACTCTCCCTCATATGAATCCAAATTGTTATCTATATATTTAAGCTTAGCTGGACTTCCTTGCAGTCCTCTCTTAAGGAAAATTTTGTGTGGATTTTGCCATTGGACTTTAGGATGAAATTATTTATGTTGTTATGTGTTCTGGTTACTTTAGAAAACATACAACGAAACACCTGTTGTATATGCATTTTCCTCTTGCCTCATATTGCCTTATCTTTTTGGTTCCAAAGGGAGGATTTCCGGAAACAATATCAAGAGGAGAATCCGGAGGTCAAGTCCATGCGTGAGGTTGTAGAGAATTAGTTTGTGGTATATGAATTTAAAACATGATGGCTAATTGGAGGCAACGGTATACCAGTTTCGCCGGAAGTGGCTAACGGTTTGAAGAATGATGAAGCTTACGGTGTCGTTTTGATGAGAGTGGTGATTTTAGGGAGGCTCCGATGGAAAGCTGGTGCGATTAAGACTGGACGGTATGGATTTTATGCAAGGTGTGATGTGTGGTTGAGATTTAATCCATCTCCTAATGGACAAGTTCCTCTTCTCGCTCCGTCAACTTGTAAAGTTGATGTCTAGTCTTTTTTTTTTTTTCTTCTTTTCTTTTTATTGATGTCTAGTCTTAATTTTGTTTTGTAATGTTTTTTTTTTTTTAAATCTTTGTGTTTTTAAAAAGTTTGAAAATGGAAATTAGAATTGTAATTTTTTTTTTGTAATCATGTTAGTGTTGAGTTTCGTCGAGTCTAGTGTAATAAATGATTAAGAGCATAAGCCAAAAATTATAAGTACAAGTATTTCTAATTTACATTCTACTTATGATATTTATTTTATTTTTCGGTTGTTGGATCTGTGGATGTTAGTTAATGAAATTTGACTATACAAATATGTTGTCTGTAATAGCGAATATTGGCATATGGTGAGTTCATCGACACAACATCTCATTGTGTTGGTCTGACATATGGCATCTTCATGCAAATCTCATTTGGTTTGATCATATCGTTTTTTTTCCATAATTACGGAACTATTTTCTTATGATAATAATGATAGACTTAGAATTCGTATTATGCTTTGCAGTTTTCCGATTTAGTGACTTTTCTTGTAAATTTGTTTCGGTTGTTCCGATTCTTCTGAAAATTTGTTACATTTTTAGTAGTTGTGCTTCACAAGTCAATGTTTTGAATGAAGCGTTCTTTTTAAATAAGTGGATAGTATTTTATTTCTTCGAATCTTTTTTAAGTTATCGTGAGTCATAGTCATCACGTTAAATGGAAAGTGTAAAATCGAAATCATATTTTTAGTCCGATTTTAGAGATGAACGAAGGAGTATGGTTTTGATATCACAACATTCTCTTTTTAAAATGTTCATATAGAATTCTCTGTGTTTTCTAATTTATTTAGCCTTTTAACTTTTCTCTACAATTGATCGGATCCTCTAACAAAAATGGTGTTGCCACCAATTTTGTACAGTACAAACTGATTAATTCTCCAATTTTGAATAGTAAATTAGAGCAGTCGTTCAAGATTTATGACCGATTTAGTGCACACATATCAATATGACGTAGACGCATCCGAAATTAGAAACCTCTAGCTTTATTTCAGATTCAGTTCTCTAATTTTTCTTGGCTATGTTTGTGTTTACGACAAAGCTCTTTTTTTTTTTAGAAGAATGATTTTTAGAGAAAGAGAAGAGAAGAAGAAAGGAAAACAAATGAGGAGAAAGAGGAAGATGTACAGTTTCGAAGGAGAAGAGAGAAGGAAAAGATATATGCTGCAAAGAGAAGGTAGGGAAAAACTATTCGGACATGGGTTCTCCAGCAAATTAGTTCATATGTGAATGGCTTCTGTACAGATTACATATCGTACATCCAGGTTGATGTACAAATAGTATTCTGTTCACATCTATGGTGGCTGTACAGTTGTCCTCTGCTGTACAGTTGTCCTCTGCTGTACAGTTGTCCTCTGCTGTACAGTGGTCTACATCTGTACATGCATTCTGCTGTACAGTTGTCTTCTGCTGTACAGTTGTCCTCTGCTGTACAGTGGTCTAAATCTGTACAGGCATTCTGCTGTACAGTTGTCTTCAGCAGAATGACTGTACAGTTGTCTTCTGCTGTACAGTCATTCTGCTGTACAGTCATTCTGCTGTACAGTCATTCTGCTGTACAGTTGTCTTCTGCTGTACAGTGGTCTACATCTGTACAGTCATTCTGCTGTACAGTTGTTTTATGTACAGTGGTCTACATCTGTACAATGATATATCTTTTTATATATTATTTGTACAGTGTTTGTTAATATAAAATTTAAAATTTATAAAACAAAATGCATATCAAATGATAGAGAAAAAAACATAGATTTTTATGTATATAATCAATTTTAGAAAAATAAAATTTACAAATGAGCATTTTAGTTATTAAACTATGAGGGAATGAAATATAATAAAGAAAAAAAAAGAAATTTAAAAAAATAAAATTCTGACCACACTCTCTCACACTCTCGCACACACTTTTTTTTCAAGAAAAAAGAAATTAAAAAAAAAAATTACACTCTCACTGACACTTTCTCTCTCACACTCTATCTCTCACACTCACACCATCTCTCACACTCTTTCTCTCTCACACTCTTTCTCTCACGAACAATTGTAAATAGTACCCGTATTAGTTTGCCTATTATGTTTCTAAAACGTACTATATTCCCTAGAAACCCTTATTTATTTGGCTGCCACTAAAATTGTAGATATGTTGTGAGAGGAGGAATATGGATTTTCGTGGGTGTGAAAATTCATGGAATTACAAAAATATCGCCGGACCATTTTTAACTAAAATTAGTTTTTATGACCCGTCAAAATGATGTTGACTCGTTATCTTTTGGTAAGTCCTCGTATGACACAAGTTGGGAAAGTAATGAGTTTGACAACTTGTGTCCTAATGAGATCAGATTTATTGGTAGAGAGAGACGTTTTTTCTGGGGTTTAATCAAAGAGTCTCTCTTAATCAAATACCCTAAGATCTAGATCTCTTATGTAAAAAGAGAGATTCATTTAGAAATCAAGGAAGGAAACTCCGTGAGCATGTTCTTACCACCTCGTCTGATTATTATTTTTCTTATACTTTGTACTTATATTAAAGTTTTATAATTAGGTGTTATACAAAATGAAGAAAAATAAAATTGTAAAAAGGAACATATCACATGTAATAAGTAATAAATAAGTGAAAAAGGAGAGGCATGTGAAAGTGGGGGAAGAAGAAGAGAATACAGCTGTGTTTCCGCCGCTCTCTCTCTTTCTTTCTCCTTCAAGAAAGTTCTCCACTTCCACCGCCCACCTTCTTCTTCTTCTTCTCCACCTTCTTCTCTAACCATTATAATTAATTAGCATCTTCTTCTTTAATTTTTTAGATTCATTTTGTTATAAGAAATAGTTTGTTATCCTTTTTTGTATATAACTAGAAATGAGCGGTGTGTTTTTGTGTAGTGTGTGATTTGGTAATGAAAATGAAATGTGGAAGAAAAAAAATTGTGTGTAGGTGAGAGGTATTAAAGAGTTGTATAATGTGATAGTGTGAGTGTCTGCATCCATGTCTTGAGTTTGCAACTAATTTTAGATATGAGGCTATTCAATTTCTGATAGATCATTCATGTCTATCTTCACCACAGCTTTACTATCTCAAAATGTACTTATTTCACCTAATTGTTATAAGGTTTCTTTATTAGATTGTTATCTCTTGTACTTTTTTTTTGTCGAAAAATTCTGGTTACCGATACATAAATCATCGTCAAGACTTTTCTTTTGATTTACTAGTTAGCGATACATATGTAGACGCTGAATTAGACCCCAACATTTAACTAAACGAATGTCTTTTATTTTTCGGAGAACAAAAGAAATATCAAAGATCACTTGACGTTGCGTTTGTTTATATTTGGGATTGTGTAGACCATGCATGTTCTTGATTCCAAAATATGCCAACATCTAAGAATCACTTGTAAAATTGTGGCGTCAAGATGAGTCTAGCAACTTTCTTATCGTGACCAAGCCATCATATCAATTCATGTATGATAAATCCGCTGCAAAATCAGAATTAGTTTAAAATGACATAATAAACGAAAACTGTGGTAGTGTTGGTAGTTGGTTTGGCTTCACCATTGGCTTTTATCAATTTTTTTTTTTTCATGTTTCAACAAGTCGTAAGAATCTCTGTTTTTAGGTATAACCGGAAGAAACTAATGCATGGATCCAAGATAGTTCGGATTTTAAATTACACGGGTATATATGCACTATTTATAATTCATAAAATAAATTTACTGGCTTTGATTGGATTAACTATTTTTTTTGTTTTCTTGACATCACTACAATACTATTGTTTGATATGTTTCTATAAATGTATATTACACAATAAAAAATAGATTAAAAAAAAAAAAAAAGAGAGAAAGAAACTGTTGAATTGGAGAGGAAAGAGAGTGGGGGAAAGATGTCAAGGCTGGTCCAGCTCAAATCGGGTAAAAACTATTAACAAATTCCAATTCTGTCCCTCCCTTTCCCCAAAAATCTGATTGTCACATACCCTACCAATTAGACAACGCCACGTGGACACCTTAGACATGATGGTGGGAGAGGACAACAACATGGGAGGCACATGATTTTGTGTTTATTATATTTCTCCAAAAAAAAAAATTTACCAAAAAAGAAAAAAAATTAATCGGATCACTGAGCAATGAGATGTTTGCGGATCCAAATTTAACTTTTAAAGCCTTCTTTCCTCTTTGCTTTATAATAACAATAATAATACACATAAAATTGGATTTAATTAAATAGATGTGGACCTTTTTTTTCTAATAATAATATAAAAGAAAAAATAAATAAATAAAGAAAAAGAGAGAGTGAAGAAAAGTGGGTTTAACAATAATTTGCTGCAAAGTTAGAAGAGGCTTCAGCTTTATTAACTTCTTCTTTGCTTTCATTCTCTTTCTCTCTATCTATCATCATCATCCTCGTAATCCTCATCATCTCTCCCCTTTCTCCTTCATATCCCTAGTTGCAGTTAAACAAAACAAAAGGCTGCTTCTCTTTCTTATTTCTCATCAATGGTTTTATGAGATTATCAAAAACATTGAGCTAGAGAGAAAGAGAGAGAGAGTGTGTGTGTGTTGAAAAAGATTGAAAATCATCAAGATTGATGGAGCAAGGAGGTGGAGGTGGTGGTGGTAATGAAGTGGTGGAGGAAGCTTCACCTATTAGTTCAAGACCTCCTGCTAACAACTTAGAAGAGCTTATGAGATTCTCAGCCGCCGCGGATGACGGTGGAGGTGGAGGTGGAGGAGGAGGAGGAAGTGCGTCTTCTTCATCGGGAAATCGATGGCCGAGAGAAGAAACACTAGCTCTTCTTCGGATCCGATCCGATATGGATTCGACTTTTCGTGATGCTACTCTCAAAGCTCCTCTTTGGGAACATGTTTCCAGGTCTCTCTCTCTTTCTCTCTTCCATTACATTTCTTCTTCTTCACCAATGGTGTTTCTTGATAGAGATCCATTTGCATGTGTTTTTTTTTTTTTTTTTTTGTGTTTGGTATATAAAAATAGTAATATATTCGAGATCAAAGCATCTTCACCATCCCCAAGAAAATTAAAAGAACTGTTTGTTTATTACAGAGTTGGTTCATGAGTTTCTGGGACGTTTTCGATTTTGTAAATCCCAAGATTCCTTAAAAAAAAAAAAATCGATCAAACAGTAACCATAAATTTTTCCAGCTAATAACGACAATAAAAAAAAATATTACAGAACTGAATTTTTTCATGTTTTGGAACAGGAAGCTATTGGAGTTAGGTTACAAACGAAGTTCAAAGAAATGCAAAGAGAAATTCGAAAACGTTCAGAAATATTACAAACGCACTAAAGAAACTCGTGGTGGTCGTCATGATGGTAAAGCTTACAAGTTCTTCTCTCAGCTTGAAGCTCTCAACACTACTCCTCCTTCATCTTCCCTCGACGTCACTCCTCTCTCCGTCGCTAATCCCATTCTCATGCCTACTTCTTCTTCTTCTCCATTTCCCGTCTTCTCTCAACCGCAACCGCAACCGCAACCGCTTCAAACGCATAATGTCTCTTTTACTCCTACTCCACCACCTCCTCCACTTCCTTCAATGGTTCCGACCTTTCCTGGTGTTACCTTCTCGTCTCATAGCTCATCGACGGCTTCAGGAATGGGTTCTGATGATGACGACGACGAGATGGACGTGGATCAAGCTAACATTGCGGGTTCCAGTAGCCGAAAACGCAAACGTGGAAACCGCGGTGGAGGTGGTAAAATGATGAAATTATTTGAAGGTTTGGTTAGACAAGTAATGCAAAAGCAAGCGGCGATGCAAAGGAGTTTCTTGGAGGCGCTTGAGAAGAGAGAGCAAGAACGTCTTGATCGAGAAGAAGCTTGGAAACGTCAAGAAATGGCTCGGTTAGCTCGAGAACACGAGGTCATGTCTCAAGAACGAGCCGCCTCTGCTTCTCGTGACGCCGCAATCATTTCATTGATTCAAAAAATTACTGGCCACACCATTCAGTTACCTCCTTCTTTATCATCACAACCGCCTCAACCGCCTCCTCCACCGTATCAACCGCCACCCGCGGTTGCTAAACGTGTGGCGGAACCACCATTATCAACAGCTCAATCTCAATTACAACAACCAATAATGGCGATTCCACAACAACAAATTCTTCCTCCTCCTCCTCCTCCTCCTCCTCATCTTCCTCATCAACCAGAACAGAAACAACAACAACAACAACAACCGCAACAACAAGAGATGGTCATGAGCTCGGAACAATCATCATTACCATCATCATCAAGATGGCCAAAGGCGGAGATTCTAGCGCTTATAAACCTTAGAAGCGGAATGGAACCAAGATACCAAGATAATGTCCCTAAAGGACTTCTATGGGAAGAGATCTCAACGTCAATGAAGAGAATGGGATACAACAGAAACGCTAAGAGATGTAAAGAGAAATGGGAAAACATAAACAAGTACTACAAGAAAGTTAAAGAAAGCAACAAGAAACGTCCTCAAGATGCTAAGACTTGTCCTTACTTTCACCGTCTTGATCTTCTTTACCGCAACAAAGTACTTGGTAGTGGTGGCGGTTCTAGCACTTCTGGTCTACCTCAAGACCAAAAGCAGAGTCCAGTCCCTGCGATGAAACTGCCACAAGAAGGACTTGTTAATGTTCAACAACCTCATGGGTCAGCTTCAAGTGAGGAAGAGGAGCCTATAGAGGAAAGTCCACAAGGAACCGAAAAGGTACAAACTTTGCTTTTCGTTCTCAAAATGTGATTGGTTTATGTTCTTTGATAACTGAAATATGATTTGTTGGAATTGAAGCCAGAAGACCTTGTGATGAGAGAGCTGATGCAACAACAACAAGAATCAATGATCGGTGAGTATGAAAAGATTGAAGAGTCTCACAATTATAATAACATGGAGGAAGAGGAAGAGGAGATGGATGAAGAAGAACTAGACGAGGATGAGAAATCCGCGGCTTTCGAGATTGCGTTTCAAAGCCCTGCAAACAGAGGAGGCAATGGCCACACGGAACCACCTTTCTTGACAATGGTTCAGTAAAAAATCATTGATTCAAGAAAATGTACTTATGTGTGCATAGTTTCTAAACAAACACCCAAAAACACAAAACACAAACACACACACACACATCTGACACCACAAACTGAAAAATCAAGATCATCATCGATCTTCGATTTTTCAGTGAATACAATTCTTTTTCACATTCTTTCCCTTTTGTTCTTTTATTTCTCACTGTCTCTTGTTTGTTTCTTCTTCTGTTCATTGTTTTCTTCTTCAACACCACCCACATGAACAAAAACTCTAGCTAAAGGTCTTTTAGATTATTTGGAGTTGTAATTCATCAGCAAGTCTCACACTTTTTTCTTTTTTTCCTTAAAAACATTTGTTGATTGGTTAATTGGGGAATAAATAGTCTTTTTTTTTTTTTTTTATCAGTCAAAGATAAACATATATGAATGATTAACTACTATTTGAATTGTTGATATAATGAAAAAAAAGATTAGCTTATTATTCACTTTGCTTTTTTGACTGAGACTCAAAGCCATAAGTATTGAGAGGAGAAGAAGAAGAGAGAATCTCTCTCTGTGTTTTTATGTTTAATCCTTTTTGCGGCGCCCACAAAAACAATCCGATAAGCCATTATTCATTTTGGTGTCACAATCAATTAAACAGGGTCGCTCAAAGTTTTGTTCTTTTGTTTCAACTTTTTATTTTAATTTTTTTTCTCTTACAATCAAAAGCATGTGCAGGCTTTTGTACTTACAACGACAAGACTCGTGCCACTCTCATGTTAACTCATTGTTCATCTCTCTGTTCTTCTTCTATTTTTTTTCTTTAATTAATAACCTTCAAAAGTAAAAATATCACTTGTATAAAAATCACTTGGTTCCGGTTCGGTTCCAGTTTTTTCGGTTCTAGAGTTTAGGATCCATATAGGAACCAAACAATTTCGGTTCGGTTCCAGTTCCGGTTCCGGTTCTTTCGATATTTTTAGGTATTTTGGATATTTTTGGGTATTTTCAGATATTTTTGAGTATTTTTGTATATTTTAAGTATTTTTTTATATATTTTCCAAATATTTGTTGGTATTTCGGATATTTTTGGTGATTCGATATAAAAATAACTAGCATTTTTAGATATAAACTCATATTTCGTGTATTTTCGGGTACCCGAAATATTTCAGTTTGGTTTGGTTCCGATTCTTTCAGTTCTAAAATTTAGGATCCATTTGAGTATTTTAAAATTTTGGTTCGATTCCGGTTTGGTTCTTATAGTTCGGTTATTTTGTCCATGCCTAGTTAATATTTTGAATAGAGAGAATATAAAAACATGGATTGAGACAGCATGATCACACCAAAAAAAATAAAAAGATTAAAAACCAAAAACAAAGAAAAAGAAAAGATTCTGTATCTTTTTTGATAGAGAGAGTAATAATGGAGGAAATGGGTACAGGTAAGAAAGAGTAAGTACCACTTTGATTGCCAACTTGCTTTCACCTCTTTGTGTCTTAACACAGCTGCCCCAACGTGCAATCATATTTTTATATAATATATATGTATCTAATTAATAATTATACAGAGATATTACAATGTATTTCTTGTGTATAAAATACAACAATGAGCCTGTCCTACCCCCTGTTCTAAAAATCCCCGCCTAGTTCCGATTACTCCCCGCTTAATCGCTAGGCCCACCCTCTCCGCCTCGATTAATGACTAATCCCCTAAAAAATCAGTAACCCGATTATTCTCCGCCTAATCCGATTATTTTCCGCCTAATCCGATTATTTTCCGCCTAATCTTACATATCCGAATATTTTTTAGATTGCAAGTATAAAAAAAACATTTTATTTTTGTTATTCAATCATTTGAATTGGGAGTTTGTGATGTTTTACATAACTTGTGTTCAAATTTTAATAAAAATCATAAAAATTTGTTTTTACTGTAATTTTGAAAACAATATTGAATTAATATATTTTAAAAATATTAAAATAACCCTAAAACTAATCCCCGATTAATCCCCGATTTTAATCCGATTTTCCGATTAATCGCTAGGCCCATGCCGAACGCCCGACTAGCGCCTAGCGATTTTTCAAACAAGGGTCCTACCCATGTGCATTTGTTTTGTTTTCTTTTATTAATTACACTTTCTTCTACTCTCTTTTTATATATTGTTTTGATTACGTATATTGAGAGTAACCTATAAAAGCCAACATGTGATCTCACCATTAACTCAAAGATTAAGATCTGTGATCACATGTAGTTTCGTTTTTGATTAGGCTTTGCCCTTTCTTTTCTTGTCTACAAAACCTTAATGTTCTCTATTATATCTCCATTAACTACCCGGTGTACTAGTTGACCATCCAAAAGGTTAAATAAATGTTGTTGTATTCATTGTCACGGGTTCGAATATCAACAATGTATAGACCCGTTTTTTGGTTAAAAACCTTTAGTATTGTCATCCCTTTGAGGTTGTTTGTTGTTTGGTTCCTTGACGAGGAAGGTATCTTTTTTTAAAAAGTAATGTCAAGTTCCAAGCACTAAGACAATTAGACAAAGATACAAATCTAATTTCAACACTATCTTTTGAGAATTCGATCATTGGAAACCCAACAAATGTTAGTTGAAAAGTTTACAAAACACAGTTTAATCAATCAAATTATCAAATCCCAACTTCCATTTACACAAAGAAAGGGCACTCCCTGTTTTTTTTCTTTTTCAGATTTTTAGGTCACTTTTGCCCCAAGAAAACAAAATTTATCAAGTAAAGCAAATAATGTGGAGAAAGATCCACAGTTGGAAACTATGAAGCTGTAGTTATATAAGTTAGGAAGTTTAATCAAGTTCTGCTCTGCTTTTACTTCTCTTCATCTTCGCCTTGAATCTCGACTTCACCATCAATGTCTCGACTGTGTTTATGAAGTTTCCAATGGCCATCACAACCAGAAGAATGCCACAAACCAATACCTATACGCAGCATTCACGTTATCATAAGAAAACCATTCTGATAAACAGTATGATACTATGATGCGAATTTAAGATAAGTTACTTGTTTGGATATGAGAAACAGCACCAACAAGAGACTGAGTTTTCGATATTCACAACTTTCCAAAATCAATTATTATATCTATTCAGCTATTGTCTACATTAATATGTTATGTTTTTTTTGTCATACTGGTGCGTGAATAAACCAGTGAGCATAATGCGCAAATGCTGCCAGAAGAGAAATTTATACCTGCCATTCAGCAACTACACCCGTCAACACTGTCCTAAGCAACTGCAGTCCCACATATGCTTCAAAGCCCTGAGTTTCCAAAGTAGAATATAAACATGTTTAACTACAATATGATGAATAGGCTTATGAACTTAGTATAAGTCTTAAGTTTCCTTTTACAAGTTTGAGAGTACATCATGAAGTTAGGTTTACTTAGTAAATATCTTCAAACAGATATTTGAGTTCCAAGTATATTCTTATGGAAGCCATGCATACAAATAATAGCTACAAATCAGCAGCTAACTATACAAGCCGGGTCTTATGGTAAAGGAAATATGAAGCTTCAAGATGCTTTGGTGTAACCTTCTGTGAAATTAATTGTGTGCAACAAAAGTAGAATTGTTACCTGTAAAGTGAACAAAATAGGAAATAATAGCAATAGTTGCCCATCTACTCCAGCCGTTTCTCCCCATACGACGTCCATCCTTTTAGCCTGAAAATGACCACAATGCACTTTTTTACAGCCATTTCACAGTGACAGATATGATTTGGACCAGAGAAAAATGCAAATAGTATGGCACCTTTCCTAGTGCAATACGAGTGTATAATCTTTGGCGCTGATATCTATTTTGTAGAAGCATCGCAACACCTTGCATCATAGCCCATTGGAGGAAAAGACGCACTCCTTTCTGCAAAACATTTAGAATGATCTATAACATTTGTTGGCTAGATTTGACTCTGCATATATGATACTAAGTTAATATCCACTACCTGCTTCTGAACACAGTTTGGTTGACCTTTGATTTCCCAAGTGAGACTGACAAGGGACATAGCCATGGCAAAATAATGATGATAAATCCACCTACAAAAGCATATCAATCCAGAGGTTTAAGTCATCTCCAAACCACGGGAGGATATATATGAAGATAACTGGAGTCACACAATAAAATCAGTCTAAAATAACATGATTCACTTCAGATCAAAATCATCAACCCACTAAGGCCGGCTAAAAAGTTTCTCATTATTCAGTAAATGATATAAAGATCCAATTTCTAACTGTCAACAAAAATAAGCTACCTCTCTAACAGCACTCCCATATTTCTATTCGATACAAAACAAGAGACATTTTATAGGAAAGTCACTGTGTGGAACCTTCTGCATTACATTGCCTATAGAAATTCCTATAATCTACTCAACTCTAACGCCCCTCATTCAGCAGTGCGATCAGTATAGGCTTGGAGAGGTACCAAAAACAGATCAAAACACAACGGGGTAGCAAAACATTGACCAGTGAGGTAGTGACAAATGATTTGATGAGTTTCTTGCAGTCAAACTAAACAACCTAAAGTAAATAGTAATTTTTCATGGGCAGTCATAAAAGAGCAAATAGACAAAGAAGAAGAGTCGGCAGCACACAGGATCTAACTAACGGAAAGAGAGATGATCCAAAAGAAAATGATCCATGCTTTCAAAGGAAGGCTTAACCTAATGAATTTGGAAACCTAAAATCAGTGTAGCCTAACACAACCTAATGATCCACTTTACCAAACTTTATATCATGTGACTTTCAGCAATAGCATAACAACTGCATCAACAATAGCCAACCACAAGCACAACTTAAGGGATCAATACAACTACAATCAACTGAGTGGGTAATAGGATAAGAGTACCATGAACGGATATCACTCCCATTGGCTCTCAAAATGTTCTCTCGCATAACCAAACCAGCATAAAGGAACAGAAGCCAAGCCTGATCAAAGGAAGTTGTACATATTAATACAAAACCTTTACACATAACTCAAATCGAACACGAATTCAACCCTAGTTATAATATACCTGGTAGAGCTGAACAGGGAATGCAGGCAAACATCCATCCCACACATAAGATCTTAGTGTCAAAAGTATTGCAGGGAAAACAAGAAAAAGAAGAGCTGTTCTATCCTGTTTCCATGGAAAAAGAAAAATCATTTAAGAGATTCATTCGACATTGAAGCAAGATCCAACCAAACAAAGCAAACACTAACTCTGTAGCTATTGTATTCTTCTTTAACTTTAAGCTGTATATCTTTTCGTGAAGCTCGAACATTCACAGGTCCTAAAAACATTCTCACAAAGCGTCCTGCTTCCAATCACAACAAACGCATAAAAAAAAACTCAAAGTCTATTCCTTTCACAATGGATCAAATCAGAAATTGAATCTGAGATTTGAAACCTTG